TGCAGGACCTGGTTCTCTACTACCCCTAAGGAGACAACTGCGACTTGATCGGGTATGCTGATTATCTGGTGGACAGGAAAAGCACTTATGGCATGGTACACTTTCTGGGTTCGTGTCTAATTTCATGGGGTACAAGAAAACAAAATTCAATGGCTCTTTCAACTGCAGAAGCTGAATATGTGGCGACTACCTCATACTGTGCTCAATTATTGTGGATCAAACCACAACTAGAAGATTTTGGTGTGTTTTTTGATTGTGTGATGTTACTATGTGACAACACCAATGCTCTCAACATGGCAAAGAACCCAATTCAGCATAAGAGAACAAAGCATATTGGTGTGCGATATCATTTTCTTAGAGTCAATGTTGAAAAGGGACTTATCTGCATGAAATTCTGCAGTGTGGAAGATCAAATTGTAGACATCTTCACCAAAGCACTGAGTAGAGAGCACTTTGAAAAGAATCGTCTTGCACTAGGGTTGATAAAATCAAGTTGACATGCATGACGATTACAAAGCAAATAAGGAGCTAATGTATTGCATCTTCACAAAAGGATGAGGATCACATTTACAAAATCTGTCAGAGAACCTGGTTCCTGCGACACTGGTTAGTAATTCCTTTTGTACTCTCATGCACAACTTTTTAAACGGCTAAAAAAGGTGCCACGTCATTAAATTGTCAGCTTCTTTTCTTTGGAACCCAAGGGCCCTACCTGTTACAAAATAACCCGTCTACCGAGAAAATCAATACACGTTCCCAATCGGTCCCTCACCCCTTTTTAATAAACCCAAACTCTGTCACTCTCACAGCTGTCCACATCAAAAGCCAAAATTTCCCTTTTTCTCTCAACAACCAAATACTCTCTTCTTTCGAAAACTCTCATTACACTCTATAATGTCTGAGAATCTTGAAGCCTCAAATATCCCCAGTGTCGTCCCCACTGTATATTCATCTCTTGAAGCACCAATGATAGAGTTTAAGTACCTTACGCCACCTAGTCCAAACCCTAAGCAAGATTCCCAACCACCCACTGCCTCTTCTCTACCCCAATCAAGTTTTGGTTTTCATCAGAGTCGCAAAAATTCGAATCCCAAGAGGTTTATGGCTACGACCTCTCCCTCTGCCTCGCCAGAAAAAATGGCTGAGGGAGAAACAGTAGAGGGAGAAGAAAATTAGGAAGTTTCCAGTCTGTATTTAGAAGAGGGTTCTGAGGCACAACAAAGTGTGGTTAACACAATGACTACCCCAAGTCTCGATTTGAATATTGCAGATCGCATAGGTAATATTCCTTCTGTGCTTTCTGAGTTTCCTTTGGGGTTAAAAGAACAAGAGGCCATAGAAAATATGTTGTCAATAGCTGTTGAGGGGTGTATGGATGGTTTCTCTAAAGGTGTGTCTGAAACCAATGGGTCTTATGGGGAAGGTGAGAGTCTACAAGAAGAGGGTAGGGAACTGGTGCCTATCAAAAAATCGGCACCCGAAAGTACTACTGGGAAACCACTCGAGGGACCTGATCCTTCCGCCCAAGAGGAGCCCTCTGCTCCAGCTTGGGATGAAACCCCATTTTCATCAAAAGAACTCCAGGCCAGTACTGATCCTACTCCCTCTCCTCATTTCTATGCTGAGCCATTGGCCATTGTTGCTCCTGAGATGAGATCTCTGTCTGAGGAGGAGAATGACGATAGTGAAGAAGACTATGATAATGTGGATCTTGCAAGCTTTATTAGTGCTAGTCTGCAACAGAAGGGGGCTCTTGAGTCTGCTCTGAAGAAAAGTAAGAAAGAAAAGAAGAGGAGAAGGTTGGTGAAGCGTGGAAAGTTAGTACATGAAAAGGTGGTGCCTACAGCTCTTGTTGTGGACATTGATGACGAGGTGGATGAGGAACCCAGTCCCTTAATTCGTAAGTGCTCTAAGAAACCTGCAGTTCAAAATTCTAGAAAAGAGTTATATGTGAAAGTGATGGAAGTTAGTAATGTTAAAGTGGGTGAGTCTGGAGAAAACGTGGTTGATGGGTCTGGTAAGAACGTGTCTAAGAAATCTGTGTATGAGAAGGTGTCTGAGAAACCTACAGAGAAAGCTAAAAGTGTAAGAAAATCAGTGAAATGGAAGGCTGGTGCAAATGAGGAACCCGGTTTCTCAAAAAGGACCAAGGTGGGGTGGCCAAAAATAAAGGAAGGGAAAATATGAGAAATCAGAAAGTGTTGTGGGGCAGAATATTTGCCCCTGATATTCTTGACATGCTAGGAATGCGCCAACTGGTTGATATCTGTGACTTTCAACAGTGGACACCTTTGTTCACAAATGAGAGTCCTAAAGTATATGAGGCCGAAGTGCGCAGCTTTTATGTTGATTGTTTCACAGTCGAGGATGACAACATCTGCATGAAGGTAAATGAGGTTGATTTTGTATTGGATGAAGTTGTGTTGGGAACCATCTTGGGTGTGCCTACTGACGGAATATCCTCCATTAAGGGGACTTGTTCGTCAAACTTCAGAAATGTCATTCTGAAGGATGATGCAGTGCAACAGAGGGAACGAGTACACAAGAAGGCCCTCCTTCCAGTGTATCAATTGTTATTTGAGATGGTGAACAAGGTGTTGCTCTCTCGTGCAGAAAGACGTTCTATTAAGTGTCGAGTAGACTTGTTCCTCATGGAACCATTGGATGTTTATTCCACTATTAATCTGTCGGGTATCATGATTGAGCACATGAAGAAAGTAGCAGATTTCAAAGATGGTAATCATGGGCTGCCCTACGGATTTCTACTCACCAAAGTTTTTGAGTTCTTCAAAGTCCCTTTGGTAAAGGCTACAGTGGGTACTCGCAAGCAGAGCTTCTCCAAAACCACCTTAGAAGAGTGTGAGTGCATCGATAAGAAAGGAGCGGTTGGCAGCAATTCTACTATCTCTTAACTAATTGAAGCTCAGAATACTGCCAATGAAGAGATAAGGAAGTTGAAGGCAAAGAATGTTATCCTTGAGGGACAGCTTAATCAGGCCCAGGAGGCACCAGGTTCCAGAAGCTCACAAAGCGCCGAGGTTGCCCATCTGACAAATGAGAATGATGATCTCAGGAAATAGGTCGAGGACTTGAAGGAGAGTTTACTCACTGATCTCGAATGGATATCCTCCTTAGAACTCTTGCCTCTTCATCGTTGCCTCCCCTTTCTAGTGCTCCTTAAAACCATTTCCTTCCTAGTGTCAAGTTCTAGTGTCTTTCTGATTTGGTATTCTGAAGTTGGATATGTTTAGTGGTTGGTACTCTTTTTTTTACTGTTTTTATTTGTGGAATGATTATGTAACAAATGGAACTGCTCCCTGTTTATTTCCAAACTTAATGAATATCCCGTCCTTTTGCTATGTTTATCTTGTCTTCTTTCTTGCTCTGTTTTTAATCGGGCTAGACTTCTTTTTGCTTATTGTCCGTCACTAATATTTTTATGATGCCAAAAGGGGGAAAATTAATTTAGGGGGAACAAGAGGGGGAAGAAGCATAGTCTCACGCGGAATTTCAATTACAAGTTTTCCATCATCAAAAAGGGAAAAATTGATAAGTTATGTGTCTTGCTATGTTTTGATGATTTAACAAACTTTGTTGAGAACCAGATGGGGAACCTGTTCCACATCCTCTGAGTGCTCAAAGATCAACAAGTCTCAAGTCTGGAACATATTCCAACATTCAGATCGACATCAGTTCCCTTGCTGACAACACCAGTCAACTCCCCACAGCGGTAAAGTGACTGCAATTGTTCCTCTGCACAAATGCAACAGTGCAAACAGTGGAGCACTCACTTTATGGGGATGCCTTTGTACCAAACATGCTTGCATCATTCAAGTGATGTCACTTACGTAATATTAACATGAAGCAAAGTAAAAACAACACACTTGCACACCCCCGAATTGAAAAAAGCTCTCTCTCAAGTGTATTGCCAACCTACAAGTGACATTCAAGGCGTCAAGAACAAAGAGCAACATAACGAAGGACCAGTTTCCTGCATTGAGTCATCATATGTCCTTAGTTGTGTAGCATCTTTATCAAAGTGATTTACTTGTAACTCCTACTTAGCTTAGTTAGAAGCATTGTGTAGGAAACCTTCATAAACTATATTTTTATGTCTTGGCTAGAGTTAGTCGAGTTGTAAGCTTTGTAATAGAGTTATTACAAAGGGGCTTGTAATAGAGTTATTACAAGTTAGTGAGGGATTAAGAGGTTAATTCCTAGGTTGCAATAGTTTGTAATCTGAAGTTTGCTCAGTAGTGAAGTTGAAATCCTATAAGGGTAGGTCGTAATTTTTAATCCCGTGAGCTGAGAGTTTTCCACGTAAAACTCTATTGTATTATTTATTTACAGCTGTGTGAGTGTGTTCTGTGGGAACTAATAGAGAACCTGGTTCTCTATATAAGTTTGGTGGACCCTTAGTTTTTATCACCAACACTTACCCCATACAGCATGGCAGGTCTAACCATCGCTCTGTAGAACTTGCCTTTAAGTTTCGGTGACACTTTCTTGTCACACAGGACTCCAGATGCTAACCTCCATTTCATCCATCCCACTCTTATATGGTACGTGACATCCTCTTCTATCTCTCCATCCCCTGAATAATTGACCCAAAGTACTTGAAATGGCATTCTAATAATGTAGTAAATATATAATGCTCAGTAACTAATTTAAGGAACTTTTTGTAGCTCCGTTTTTTTGTTGCAGAGGCCAATAGTGTGATCACCAGGCCTTTTGCGTTAGTTTCTTGTTGAAGTCTTTTTCTTATCAAGGGAGGATTAGATTTTATGAAAAGAAATTATCTTAGTATTATTTGCAGCTAATTTTCTTTAGGACATGCTGCTGTTAACATAAACTATGAGAGAAGGGAAAATTGCAGAACCTCAAATAGGTACTACTTCTAAAATCTATGATCAAGAAATATTAGCAAAAGGAGACATTGCAATCTTTTTATATAATCAAGGTTATGTACATTATAATAAATGCAATAGCAAGAAAATCCATTGAAAGAAGAAGAAGGCACAAATTAATCTCATTGAACCACATCAATGAATAATACAACTAATTTACAATGAACTTCAGCTATATGGAAAATTAACTATGAAATTGTTACATTAGTACTAAAAAAAACACATCTATATCACAACATCACCATTTCATGAAATGAGAAAAAAACCTATTTCTGTTAGATCCCAAAAAAGGAAAACATTCTTTAAAAGAAGAAAGAAGGTAAGCATACAAGAGAAAATTGTAAACCTCTTATAGTATTTATGTACTATACAATTTTGCTTATGTTCGCTCCCATCAGGGGAATTTGCCTTGATTTCTATTCTATTACGTAAAAGTTGGCCATCTCAGTCTGTCCGTACCTTTAACTACCGCGCATCAAGCATGGTAACTGTAACTTGATTCACAGTGCAAGTTTCTTCGTAAATAGTTTCCGAATGTTCATCAACTGGTCTTCTCCCCAGGCAAAATCCAGGGTGCTTAGGCTGAGGTAATGTTGCACTTTCACTGCCTAACATCAATACAACGGTTGCCATATTCGGTCTATCTTCCGCTTGCTCCTGAACACACAATAGCCCGACTTGTATACATCTCATTACTTCGCACGGAGAAAATGATTCTCCAACCGCTGAATCAAGTAGTTCTGAGGCCGTTCCTTCTCTCCATAATCTCCATGCCTGCGGTCAGAGAGACGGATTCAGGAGTTAAATTTACGGTTCAGATTTTAAGATTTTTAGCATTAAACTCATTGTGTTGTTACAATTATAGATTCAGATTTAATGTTTATTGAGATTTTAGTAGTTTTTTACATATGTATCAAGACTCAGTGTGGAAAGTTATGGATTCGAATGAACCCGTAGCTGGCATACTTACATGGCCAAGAAGGTTTCTTTGGTTGTTTTGATAATAAAATCCCCTGTTCTTCTTCCCTGTTACAATTTCTAACGCTAAAACGCCAAAGCTGAAGACATCCGATTTAACAGAGAAGAGACCGTCCATCGCATATTCAGGAGACATGTAACCACTGCATTAAAAGAAAATTGGATTTAGAGAAATTTTCAAGTGTTCTATGAATGATTTGAAGGAATTATTGTGATGTTGCTTACTAGGTTCCGACTACTCTCTTTGTATTTCCTTCAGTCTCGTCGCCTCCAAAAATTCTTGCCATACCAAAATCTGATATTTTGGGGTTCATTTCCTTGTCAAGAAGAATGTTGCTTGCTTTAAGGTCTCTGTGGATAATCCGAAATCTTGAATCTTGATGAAGATATAGAAGCCCCCGCGCTATGCCACAAATAATGTTGAAACGCCTTTGCCAATCAAGCAACAAGCTTTTTTGCTTATCTGAGATACATATATTAGGTTTAAGTCCAAGAACACATAAACAAACTCATAACAACAGCAACTACGTCTAAGTCCCAAGTAAGTTGGGGTCGGCAAATTCATAAGGAAGTATAAAACCAAAAAAGGACTTACTGAATAAGATTGAATCCAAGCTTTTATTTTCCATATATTCGTATATCAACATCTTCTCTTCCATCTCAACACAGCAGCCAAGAAGCCGGACTAGATTTCTATGTTGAAGTCTAGCGATCAATCGTAGCTCGTTCTTAAATTCTTCAACTCCTTGGCCAGAATTCTTTGAGAGCCTTTTCACTGCTATTTCTTGACCTTCATCTATTATTCCCTGATCAAAAAGTTCTTTTATTGAGTACCTTTACATTTTACCATAAATGGACTAGTTTTTATCCTATATTGCTCGGATCCTCTAAAAATGCTACTGCACTCGTGTCAGAGGATCCGAGCAACATAGGTTTTTTGACATCTGGCTAAGCTTTACCTTGTAAACGCAACCAAAACCGCCCTGGCCTAACTTATTTGCATCAGAAAAATCTTCTGTAGCCACAGCTAAAGTGCTGAGATCAAATAAAGGCAATTCACACTCATCCGCGGAAGTTTCACTAGAAATTTCTCTTTTATTTGGAATAATTGCTGTATTCACTAGAAGATCTTGACTTCTTTGATTAGAGCCTGGTTTAAATAGCAAGAAATATGCATTAGAGAATAAAACCTTTCACAAAAAAGACAATCTCTGGTTAATTATGAAGTAGTTTAATTTCCTCTTGTAGTACCTCGTTCTGTCTTCTTTCTTAATATTGGACCTTGTAATTTCCTTCTTTTTGATAAGAAGCGAATGCTTACTACTCCAACTAGCAAAAGAACAACACCAGCTGTGATTCCAGTAGCCATAGCGATTCGTTTCGTCTTGCCAGAACCATCTCCAGATCCCACACTTCCACTTTGTGCTGAAATTCAATAATTACAAAATGAGTGTTTTTATTTTATTTTATATACAGGTTTAAAAAAATGGCGTCCGTTGCATGAAGCATCACACATTCACGTAGGGTTTGGGGAAGGGTTGCACCCTAAGGGGTGTGATGTAGGCGGCCTACACTGATGCAAGCATCAGTGGCTGATTTCACGGCTCGAAAACGTAACTATAAGTAACATCATATATATATATAATTATTTTGGTTTTATTTGAACAACTATAATTTCATGCAAGTTCCTCTGAATCATGAAGTTTCACTATAGTACTATAGTTATTTGATCAGTTCTACCAAACTCTAAAGCTGAATGCAAAGTTTTGAAGGAATAAAAATTGAAGATTCAAGCCAGTTGAGAGAAAATGCTCCAATACAAGTGTGTTTTCATTTCAAATAAAGTTTTATGTTTCCAATTTGCTTTCATAATTTTCAGAAGGGACGTAATTTACTTGAATTTTTTTTTTTAAAATTCAAAACATTTTATTTTTCAGTTAACACCAAAAATGGCCAGCTATGTTAGTATTACTATGATTGCAAGAAGTGAGTCTTCCATGTACATGTGATGCTATGACTTTTGAGCTTACAAAAAATGTACAAACACAACATATATATAATCTAACTATCATCCTACTCCATCTAGCTGCAGGTTCTTCATTTTTTATCTTCTGAATCTAAATGAAGGCATTTTCCTCCTATCCATTTGATATACCCCTACAGTCTACCTAGGCAGATCTTGAAAATTGAGGAAGATGGTAGCAATAAGTAGAATAACCAATGTAGCACCATATTTTGAAAGTGTGTCTGCCACTGAATTTCTTTTTCTATAGCAGTGTTGGACTTCAATTCGATGACTCTGAATAATCTTTTTCATCTTTAGAATATCATCATGAATCTCCCCACAAGGTGAAGAAGATCCATTAAGCATATTAAAAATTCAATAAAGAGTCCATTTCTAGAATTACATTGTGAATCCTATTGAAGGCAATCCACTTAAACATTTTCTTTAGAAGTGATTTATATGCCAGTAGAAAATATATACTAGTATTAGAGAAACTAATTTTTTATTATATCATTGGACTGAGACAGGTTTAAACAGAGCGACATGGTTAGTAAATGTTCACATATATAGTCGACCTCTAACTTATTTGGAATTGATGTATATATACACACACTTCGTTGTACTACTTTAACTATATATAGCTTGTTTTAGTATATGTTAGTGTATTCACTATTTATATTTCAAAATAAAGTGTTAACGGATTACATTTATATTATTTAAATAGTAAATATTAATGTGATTCAAAAGTTTGACCATGTTTGACCTATGAACCGACCGAAGTTGGTCGGTATTTTTCAAAAAATTATATTTACCGACCAACGTTGGTCGGTAAAATCTTCCCATGCAATAACCGACCAACTTTGGTCGGTAAATTTAACTATAAATTTTATAAAATATTTTAAATAATAATATAATTATTAATATTTTAAAAATTGGGTCCACATTACCGACCAATGTTGGTCGGTAATCAAAAAGGTGCTTTGACTAAGCAAGTCTGACCATTGCAGTCAAATATTTGACCAATATACCCACCAATTTCGGTCGATATGTAATTTAAAAAAATATATAAAATATTTTTTTGATAGTTTCCGTCCATGTTGGACGATTTTTTGGTCGCTTTTGTTGATCACTTGGTCGGTTTTTTCCCGGAATTTCTAGTAGTGGGCCTGTGTAAAATATCAATTAATATGCCTTTTCAACAGGAAAATACAAAAGGGAACTGAAAATGTAATGTCACAATCTCGCAAAATCTTCAATCGTTTTACAGGAGGTAAGAATAGTCAAGGAAGGAAACTCTGATCAAAGGGTATGGTTTTATTTTTTCTTTTTAAACTATAGCTTATCACTTATACCTGTCCATCTTGTTGCTATTACTTTTTTTGGGGCACGGGAGTAACAAGGTCCAAAATAAATAGTATAAAATGACTTTTAGTGTACTTTAAACGACGTGATATAGGCCTTAAAAAGGGTTTCACGAAGGATTGGCCTCTTGGCCACTGAGTGCATCTTAATTCTTTTTTTTTCCCTTCCATATTATATATATAGGGGAAAGGGGAAGGGGAAGGGGAAATTGATTTTTTTTGGGGGGGAGGGGTTGGAATTATAATGTGGAAAACCGAAACCAACTGAACTGCTAAGATTTTATATAAATAGTTGATTATTTATTATTATTTACTTTTTTTAGTTATATACATATATTATACATTGATTATATACATATAATACATAAAATATATATATATATTATACTTTAACTAGCTATTTTTAATTTAGCGATTGAGTGAACGACTATTTGGGTTAAAGGACTTGGCTTGTCCCAACAAAAGTAGTTATCCGTATTTGCATTTATATAAAACATAAACGTTAATTATGAAAATTTAAAAGTAGTACTCGTACTATGTATTTGGAATTAATCGAAGTCAAAATAATCGGCCATATGACTTTTTTTGGAATGTAGAGGGTGTAGGTATACAATACAGTCCAGTAAATTGCTTCTTATCCGTCTTGAGAAGAATCTTTTTTGTGAACCTTACCTAATTTTTAGGACCGAGTTGGCACTATTTTAGAAACTCAAATACCCACTAATTTTAGCTAGCGTTTAGTCATAGATTCCCAAATTTATTTTAAAAAATTTAATTTGGGTGAAGTTTGGTTTGAAGATTAAAATGTGTTTGAACATGATTTTTCAAAACATATTTCACTTTTTATTTGAAAAAATATGAAACATGACTTATACCCACAAGTTCTAAAAACTATCATAAATACCCAATAGTACCAAACAAACAAACTTGCTATCTTGTATATACAGAACCTTCATCAATACCATTCATTATCATTATCACAAATCATAGTCCTGAACATAAATAAGTTTAATGAGAGGCAAGTGAGTAGATATGGTTTAGTTGGTCGTAATAAATGTGGGCTCTTTTACAAATTATAAAGGTTTGGGGTAATATTTAAAAATTTTAAAAAATGACTGTGTCATGTTTTGGCCCAAAATCAACAATTGAGTTGATTTTGGGATTTGGGATTTTGCCAAAATACGGGTAAATTCTATGGCCAAATATGTATTTGCCAAATAAATTCCAAATTTATTTTGACAAAACTCGTGGCCAAACGGATCCTTAGTTTCTCCATCATTGTCAAATTTGGAAAAAAAAAAAAGAAGACAAAGACATATGATATCCTCAAGGAAATATAGCAGCAAAAGAACAAAAACGAATGAAATATTCATTGTGTTACGCAACCATTCGCGTTGACAGTCCAAAATAAAAGAAGCTAAAACACACTTTTCTTTTTAGTTTTATGATCTTATCTTTTTTTTTTATAATATATGTGAAATTTACTTTTACACATAAAAAATATAAAAATAACACTCTTAATTTTAACATTATAAATGGTCATGAATCCAATGGCTATACGGTGTAGTTTTCCGTTTTATTTATAATTATTACAATTTAAAATCCAACCACATTCTATGAAACATTTGAGAGTTACAAGACAATAAAAACGTAATAACCTAATGTCATGTAAATATTTTTTTCTTCTTACACCTTTAAGAATATCTTGATCTATGATGTGTCTATTATTATTGTTATGAATTCTCTTTGTCTTCTATGCAAAATAACAAGGGAAATAATCAAAAATAAAAAATTATCCCAAAAGGCGAGCGTTCACATAATGATTTTAGCCGAAAGAGTTATAGATTTTATGTAGGTGCATGGATTTTATATTATCAGGTTTAGTTGAAATTACAACAGCAGTTTTAATTCTTCATATATAGTATATCTGATACAATAACATAGAAAATAAAATAACAAATTATTATAATCGATTTAAATTGCACTAATAATGTAATAGTTATTTACATTATTGGTGCACATAATGGCTAAGAACAGAAAACTTGGATTTGGTAGATTTTTCTTTTCGCTGAAAACGAGTGGCGAATTATTCTAGAGTCTTGAAATGGGTGCATTATTTTCTACGTAACAATTCCAATCTAATCAAAGGAGAAAAACAAACTCTAACAGTCGTAAACCATATAAGTCACCTTTCTAATTAATTTGGAGATGGGGACTTTAGGGCATAATTTCAATTAATTTCATATGTTTAGGTTAAGATTCGTTTCTTATTCAATGCACAACGCATACTGAATAAGAAAAAGGAAATTTAAGTGAAAAACGTCCCTACCACAAAGAATATGTCTGTCTCTCGCTCAAAATATAT